CAATTCTAACAGTTTTCAGAAGTGGTATTCCTCCTGCTTTTATCTTGAATTTTGAAAAAGAAATTCTATTACTTTCGGTTCAAAAAGTTATTTATAAAGTGTAATTACCCCCCCCCCCACGCCCCACCACCCCAGAACTAGCTGTCTCTAAACTTATTCCCACGACGCTGAGATGTACTATTTTTGAGGCTCCCAAGTCTGGGAGCGACACCACATGTGTGAGCTGCCATGAGCCGCATCTGCCGCAGCCTTGGAAGGCTGAGCCTGGAGGCTCTGCAGAGCTCGCCCAGCTCTCCTGCCAGCCAGAACCTCTCCTTGTTTCCAAAGGAAATTCTGGAATCACGACAACACAGAGGTGCAGACTCCTGTTCACCGCAGGAAGGTGGCAACTCTGTAGCCTGATGACCGTTAGACTGAAATGGCAACGGTATTCACCTTTCCCTGGGGTCAGAAACAGCTCCTTTTCTGGGGTGGGCGGGTGGAGCTGTGTTTAGAAGGACCCGCCTTGTCTAGAGGAGTCTTCCCGAGGAGAAGGATTGTTGCTCTTGCTTGAATAGGCACAAGGTACCCAGACTTTGGCCCAAGGAAGAAGCAGGTTCTTTGAAAGAGCACGAAAGCTTGGTGTGGGGAAGATTAAAAGTAAAAAAGTGAGTTAGTGATGACTCACAGGGAAAGAGGGGAGAAGACAAAGTTTGTTTAAGCCATGGATTTTTGAGGTAGAGAGGCAGTGAGTCTAAGTTGCTCACCTAACTTAGCATTTATTCAAATGCTACGCACAGCATGAGAACGGGTGAATGGCTGTCAGCAAGATGGGGAAATCTCCTTGCAGTTTAATTTGAAGGCTTTTAATTTTTACTTCTATTTGATGGCAGAAATAAAGATGTCTTAGAATAACAGAGCAAAAATGCACCTTTGGTCTGACAATCACATTTGTAAGTCAAAAGCAAAACGATAGTTTCCCATTGGCTTTTCCCCATGGTTGGCATACAAGTCCTAATATGTTAGGATGAGGCTGCTAAGTATAAGACACATGGAGAGAGTTAGTTCATTATGACCAGCTGGACATTTCTTATGTTAGAATGGGTCCTTCCAGAACAAAGTCAGACATCAACACGGTCTGGCCCAGTGGATCCCAAGAGCTGGCAGAAGGGTAGTCTGCCCCAGACAGGCAATTAGAGAAGGCATCGTCTGTAGAGAGTATAGGAACACTAATAAGACAAGCTGAACGTCGACTGGCTTTATACTATTAACATGACCGGTGATTCTGAGTACTTTCAGGGCTCAAACACCCCTCTCTGAAGGGGTCATCAGCTCTCTCGGTCCCCTCACCCCCCACATGGCAGATCTTATTGTCTGCGAGTCCAAAAGGGACAGGTGGAGAAGAAGGCCCCGGCTTCCCTGTATATGGGGTTCTAAAATGATTTGACATGGAGGGTAAGGAAGTTCCCTCAGATTTTGTCTACCACTGTCACCAAGTTGCTGCTGTGGAATGATGATGGAACCCACACCTGCAGAACACTTACTGCGCACCCGGCCGTGGCTCCACCATCCTCCCTCAGGAAGCTTCCCGTCTAGTGAAAGAGGCAAACATCCCACCAGCGGAAGATGCACCAGTGCCTCGTCCAAGAGAGGGCAGAGTGGAAACATGGGATTTGGTTCGAGAGGCCCAGGAAGTGTCTAGATAATTCATTATACCAGAAACTAAAGATAATTTTTTTGCTCACAAGTAGCTAGTCAAGTCACTTCTTGAATCTTTAGGGTGAGACCCACCTCAGGGGCCACGTCCTATCTCCTCCTAGTGTTGCGAGCAGGTCACTCCGGTGTGGTTAGAGAATATTCTGAAGACTCTGGCAAGACCCTTCTCCTGATACCAGCCCCACCTGAACATCACCATCACCTGGGAGCTTTTTATTTAAATACAAAAACAAAAACACCTACAAAAACACTCTGGACCAATTAAGTCAGGACCTTGGAAAGGTGAGAGGAGGTCAGGGACCAACATGTTAGAAAAACAATCAGTCCAGATGATTCTAACGTGCAGCCAGTATAGAGAACTACTGCCATACACACATGAGATCAGTTTACTTTAGCCAGGTGAGAATAATAGAACATTTTACCATAAAAATCTTCAGGATGCACAGGGAGCCACTTTGGAGTCAGGGGTGTGAGTGTGTGTGCGCGCACACCCATGTGGGGTGGTCGTGCCTGTCTCCCTGCATGCCGTGCGCTTTCCATCTCTGGCACGCAGTGGAAACACCGCTGGCGGCATTCCCTGGGCCCCCTGAGTCAGATTGATTGTCAGAGGCAGAGCATGCCCAGGGCCCTGGGAGTTTGCTGCAGAGGCAGATACAAGTCTCAGTAAAGAAGCAAGTGCCCCGCGTTCTGTCTCCACTTCCAACCACCGCACATCCCCTCTCCTGTCTCTTCCGCTGCTGCTTTCCTTAACCTCCTAGAGCATGAGGCTTTATATGAAACCCGTAGCCTTTTTGAGGAAGCACATGCAAGCCTTAGATTTGTTTTCTTCCTTTAAAACACATAAAAATCCCTGTGAGCACCTTACATATAAGCAGAACGAATGTATTTTCCCCACTAATGCTGAAAATATCCCCAGGCATCTGGTGTGTATGAATGTGTATAGATAGTACATGCATAATAAACATATTCCACCTTATGAATATTTATACACAAGTTACATATATATCGAGTGTAGACATATATATGTAAATAGTAGCCCTTGTAAACTATCTGCAAAGTGTGTTTCTAAGCATATGTATTCCAGTGCATCAGGAATATAATACACTTCCCACCAAGCTTAGCATATTTTGAGGTGGCATTTTCTATAGAGTTGTTTATGGTAGGGTCTAGTTACAATCCTTGTATGGTTCCCCCCCCCGCCCCCAATCACCTAAATGTTAAGTATCGACTAAAAATAAGGCACTGGGCATGGTAGAGTAAGACAGATAAGAAAGATGCCCTTGCCTTGGAAAGACCTGTGCCTCGCAGAGTGGCTTACAGTTCAGCTACGAGGAATCTGACATTGTCTTGCCCATCAGCATTTTACTGCCTTCTTACACCTGCCTTTGTGTATACACTCCACATTAACACGAGCCCCCTTTAAGGCGATGTGAAATCCTCATGGAGTTGCAAACTACCGGTAGTACCTATGCAGAGAGAAGGAACATCATTGGTTATTCTATCACATGCAGTCCAATCTTTTTTAAAAAAATATATATATATTATTGATTTTTTTTTACAGAGAGGAAGGGAGAGGGATAGAGAGTTAGAAACATCGATGAGAGAGAAACATTGATCAGCCGCCTCCTGCACCCCCCCTCCACTGGGTATGTGCCTGTAACCAAGGTACATGCCCTTGACTGGAACCGAACCTGAGACCCTTGAGTCCACAGGCTGACGCTCTATACACTGAGGCAAACCGGTTTCATCTGTAGTCCAACCTTTTAACTGTGTTTTTATTTTACTCTGATTGGGTGGTGGTGGTGGTGGTGGTGGTAGTGGTGGTGGTGTACCATACAAAGGAACTAAATCCCAGCGATATTAATCAACCTCAAAAATGAAACAAAACAGAGCCATTCTTCCCCCTTACAAACTTCTCAAAACCCACATATTACCGTCTATGACATAACACTTCCAAACTGAATCCAGTTCCCTCCCTGCTATGAGTAGCAGAAGCCTTTATTAAAAACAAGCTATCCATTCTCGATGGCACCGAATACGGATCCCTTTCTAGAAGGACAATCTCCGTCGGTCCAGGAGCTCTGAGTGACACTTGTCAAGGGGAAGATTTCACTCCGTTAGTGGAGAAGCAATCCCTGGGCGCTGTCATCGCGGTGCCTCATTGTTTCCTCCGCCACCATCCATACATCACAACAGGTAGTTCTCAGCTGCTCCCTTGGTGCCAGACATACATTTTATCTAAAGAGACAGCAGACAGAACTACCTGCTGCTTCCTGTGCAGCTCTGCCTGTGTTTCTCTCCTCTTTCCTACTTCACTTGGGCTTTTAAAAACCAGCTGGCAGGGAGCCAGGATCTCATCATTTTAATGCAGTGCAAAATGGAATATGCATAATTATATGCAAGCCATATGTGAGGGAGACAGCTCAGCTGTGAATTTCAGGAGGCCAGGAAGGAGGGAACAGTTAGGGCTACGATGAGATGAGAGCAGAGCGGAGTGCAAGTGTCACCCAAATGAGTGATTTAATGAGTATGCTGCAGCCACGCCTCCTTTCACCTACCTCTCCCTTCTCTCTGACTCCAAACCAACACCCACCAGGGGGAGATTAGAAAGAGAAGACTGTATGCAAGCGGTGTTGCTGATGGGTTCTGTTCATGTCTCCATGTACACTTCAGCTTTCTTAATTAACAGCGTAGATCAAAATAACCAGTAACTTTTAATGCAGCTTCTTAATTAAATCCATTTTTTTTACTGCATTTGATTGAAAAATCATTGTTCTTATGAGACCATTGCTCCTTTCAGATTTTTATTTAAAAATCAAGGGGAATCAGTTTATCTCTAATAGTATTACGATGCAAAATATAACTATGCCAATTGCTTTTCTTATGGCCTTGCTATCAGAATTTTTTTTTAAAGTGCATTATCTAGAGATTGCTTAAGCATGCCAAAAAGTTTAAACACATATGTATGTCAGATAATCCTAACCGTACAACCAAAGTCAACGAAAGACTGTGAAGTGGTGGCAATTTCCAACAAAATTATTTTGTGTTGGTTTGCTTAGTATTTAAAAACGTTAAATAGTGCACCACAAGGAATTTGCATGTTCAAACAAAACTATGTAAAGAAAAATAAAGCCCAAATTTTGATATCTAAAAAGGCATACTGCGTGTTTAAACAAACTTCTTAATGATGTTGTTATTTCTGGATTCCCGTTTGTTTAATGATCTGAGCTGTTATGCTTTTAGCTTTTTTTTTTTTCCTTCCATTATTTGTAAGTCCCTAAATAGGCCATTATATTTCCCTTCAGGCTAGAGATGAAGATGGACATGCTGAAAATTTCCCCCAGCAGCACTATGCTAAGGAAACTCCAAGGCTTGCCTTCAAGAATAACTGCGAACTACTTGTAAGAATAATATACTTACAACAAGTCTAGAATGTTACTTTAGCACAGTGAAAACAGTTTTTGAAAGGGTTTGTTCATTATTACATAATTTATGAAGTATTATAGTTTTTTTTCTGTGTAGAGTTCTAAATGCTAATTCTGATATCACTGAATATTAATTATAAGATCTCAAGTTATTTGCAAATCTTTTTATATCTGATTATAGAGCTTGGATGGCCCTGTCTTTTATTAGCTTGTTTTGTATAGTAGTTTATAAGCAGCCGTTTGGAGAATGGCTAGTAAAGTTAAAAATATAGAGAAATGCAGTTGATTACATGGAGCTTGGAAAAAAAAACAAAAACCAGTCCCACCCCCACCCTCCTCCTACTTCCTAATTGTACACTATTTTAGGAGACGACGCGGTAATATTTTGTTCTGCGGGGAGAGATAGCGGGGTTGACATGCAGTACTCCCTCTAGCATTCAAGTATTCCTACAGCCTCTTGCCAAACTCAATCAGGCACTTTCGTCTCTCCTAAGCAGAAGTCAAAGCAGCGACAGGATGTGGGGATGTTTACAAGTCGTGAGAGAGAGAGAGGGTATCAGCTGTGACAGGGACTCCGTTCCAACGCAGGGTTAATTTGCTGTTCATTTTAGCATTTACAGCGAGAGACAAGATGAAAAGCAAGCAGGAATGCCTATTATATTTCTATTAAATGAATCTGTCGGGGCCTAATGTTTCTGATTAGCGGTTGAGAATGAGCACTCTGCAATGCGTTTTCTGTTTACCTAAAGTAAACAGAGAATGAATTGTCATTTATTTAGAGATGCGCATATTGCTTTAGAAAATGAAGCTTTATGAGGGATTGAGCTATGCTGTCCCAAAAATGTTCTTTTCTTTTCAGTTGCATTGAAGCAACACATTTGCTCCCACTAAATGGAAACGCAGAGAGAGAGAGAGAACTAGGATGCCTGGTCATTGCATTTCGAGGTAGTCTCTTATTCCTGTTCAGTTTTTTGGCAGAACACACTGCCGCCCTGCCAGGTCTCCGCATTAGGAAATCCCACATGGAACGGTGTTTGGACTCGGCTCTGATACCAAGTATTCATTAAACACAAAGTGTCCAAAGACCAGGAGAAGAGAGGAAAACACAGTTTTTACCCAGGCCAGCCGCAGCAGTCAGATGCTGACAGCGAGACACTCCTTTTCCCGGCCCCACCGTCTGTGCGGCGACAATAGCACCCCTCATGCTTTGCGTGGAGTCCCTGGACCAGCCACTCCGCAGGCACATTTGCTGCTTGTAAATGCAGTTTCCCCCCCTGAAAAGGGAGCTACCTTGTGTTTTATCTTAGGGCTCTTAAGCTCCCAGGCCTGCTAGCAGCATTACCTCTCTGGGAGAAACCCTTTACATACAGTTCTGTTTTAATGTCATCCAGCAGGAAACCAGAGGGGGCCATGGAGGCTGTGTTTTGGCGTCAGAATGTTTTGGGGAGTCACTTACTGCTTTTTGGATGCATTGTTACAAGTACTATGCCCTATTTGTTTTTTGTTTTTTTCTTTTTACTAGAAAAAATGAATGTGCCCGAGTCTCGGGGGTGGTCATTGTATACTAGAGGAAAAGCAAAACGTGCATGTGAAGTGTCGTTCAGCTGTCTTTAGGGGAAATATATGGTTAGCCCTTGCTGTGCTTAAGCACAACATTGTGTTGGCAGTAGTTTTGAGAGATTGGTACAATCTTAGCTCTCGTAAGCCACTGTTAGAAATGTTTTGTTTTGGTCAGCATATGATAAAAGAAAAAGGAGAAGAAGAAAAAAGGAAAAAACAAAACAAAACCAAGGATAAACCAGATTTTTTTTTTTTTTAGCTGAAGAGAAGCAGTGGTTTTTGGCTGGTTAGGAGGCCCTGAGAAGCTTTGCTTCTATGTGGAAGAGACCTGTTCGTTATTAAGAAAGAACTAGGAAGCCCTTGGAGTTTTCTTAGTGCAGCTCAGGGCAAATTCACGAGGGGAGATTGCAGGCTCGCTCCAAAGTGCTTTCTAAGCTCGAGGGTGATTCTGCCGTCCTCACGGCAGCAAGAGCAGTGGGCAGTTTACAAAGTGGGGGGTAGGAGTCCCGGGGGTGGCAATGGTTCTTAGGAAAAGCATTGAGGGCACAGGTGACTTCTAGGTGCCCAGGTGATCAGGAGCCCACGGATGGAAGTCGAACCCTTTGCTCCAAATTTCAACACCAATGTTGGGCCTTTTACCATTATTGCCGCATTCTTTTGGGACTAGGCCTTCTCATTTCCTCAATGAAAATGCTCATATCGATGGTGGGAGTTGGATGAAGAGTTAGAGAGGACAACCTTAATCATATTATGAGCTCACACCTTCTCATCAGCCACTACTTTCTCAGTTCCAGAGAGCCAGCTGGGAGTAAGACCTGGCAGAGTCACAACATTAGCAGGGTCCTTGGAGGGAGAAGAAGAGAAATGGTGAAAGGGTTTGGGGGAAGGAACTGAAGGCAACTGAGCCTATTCCCCAAGTGTTTAGGGCCAGTCCAGAGAGCATCACTGCATTCAGGAAGAAGTTCCAACTATAGTCAAAGAACAGCATCAATGCTGTGGTGTAATTTGATTGGAGAGAAAGCAGGTTCAGGAAGTCTGAAAGGGGAAGTAAGAGGAAGGAAACTCGGGGTGTGGGTGGAGCGGGGAGGAGAATCAGCCTGTCTTCCTCAGTTTCAGATTCCCAAGACATTATCTAGACAAAGTCCGACTCCCTTGGCGTTCTCTAAGGCTGTGAGGGAGGGGGGTTTACAGAGGGAGAGGGAGGGACCCACAGCTGGGAGGTGAATAAAAATAGCATAGGGAAGAATTCTTTCTGGTCACTCACAGAGCCAGCAGAGGGAGAAGGTAACTATTTTAGTTTCGTGGCCTTCTGGACATACTGGGAGATGTTGGGGAGGAGAGATGCTTAGGCAGTTCAAGGAGATGAGTTCCATCTCATTTCCTTGTGCAGGCAGACAGGTAGATGACAAGGACCAGTTTTTCCTCAGTGAACACAGACAGCTCTGTAGTAATACAGGGGGCAGTTAACAAGACATTATGGAGCATCTTCTGTATAAGGCACTACACCAGACCATGCTTGTGGGAACACAAAATAGAAAAAGGCCCAGGCCCTGCCCTAAAGGAACTCACAATTCAGTAGGAAGATGAGGCTAAACAGTCGTACAGTCATCAGGAACATGGAAAGTCAGAATTTTGTCCCAGCTAGACTTTACTTTACGCTACGTCACTCTGACAGGATAGCTTAAGGATCACGGGCACAAAGACTTAACATTCATGGCGCCACATCTGGCATCACATCACGTTGGATCTGTTTCACCCTTGGATTTCTCCGAGCTTCAGATCTTCATCTGTTCAATGTAATAACAAATGGTAGTAACCTCAGAGGATGTTGTAAGGATTGAAAGTGATGACATACTTCAAGTGCCTGGCACACAATAACGTATTAGCTGCTATTGTGATGATTCTTCTTATTCTCATGACTGTGATCATTACCCAGTAAGCTGTGCCCCAGGAGAGCACAGGCAAAGCTCTGGAGTCCACGGGAGGAAGAGATTACTTCCATATGTGGTAATAACAGACTTACCAAAGGGGATAGCTTTGATCCAGGCCTTACATGGGTTGGATTTTGATAGTCGGAGCAGAGGTATAAGGGTACAGAGATTCCAGGCAGAAGGAAATAGCATGGGCAAAGGCAAGGAGGTGGGAAGATACAGGCCAGGTGACCCACACCTCAGTTGGCATCTAGGTTGGCTGGAGGGTAGGATACTTGAAGGCTAAGTATCCTACAAGTATGGTGGTCTATTTGTAGGATACTTATGGATACAGTTGGCAGGTGGTCCATGTGCAGAGGTGTCAGTAACTGACCCCACTCTAGCAAGTCTGGACATAAGTAATTGTACTTCATAGAAACTCCTAGTACTTCTGTGGATTAAAAAAAATTATTATGGAATATGTATAACATACACAAAAGTAGAATAGACAGTCATATGGTGAAGCCCATATACCTGTCATTTAGCTCCAACAACGATCAATTTTTATTGCTTCATCTATCCCTTTTCCCTCAACCCAAACTCCCTACCCCCTTTTATTCTGCTGGACTATTGCGAAGCCAAACTATTTGTTTGCTTGTTCTTCTGTAAACACTTTAGCACCCCACTTCCCTGTCTGGAAATAATTCATTGGGGGATTGGAGCTTTGGGACAATGTATACATAAAACAAAGTTGGTTACCCACTTTTCTTTTCCCTCCCTGCTCAGCCCAACCTTGTAAGGCTTGGATAGTCAGATCCAGTTAAAAAAGCCCTTGTGTTGAAAAACATAGCATGGTGCCAGTGAAGACTTGAGTCTTCTTCACGCTCAGGTCCCTGGTTCTAAATGCATTTATTTAAAAGCTAGAGGCCTAGTGCATGACATTCGTGCACTGGGTGTGTGTGTGGGGTGGGGGGTCTCTCAGCCCAGATTGCGCTCTCTTGCAGTCCTGGACTCCTCGGGGGATAGCCAGCAGGCAGACATCCCCTGAGGAGTCCTTAGTGGCTCCCACCAATGCCGCTGCACTGGCCAGTCCTAAGTTGGCTTCTGGCTGAGCGGTGCTCCCCCTGTGGGAGCACACTGACCACCAGGGGGCAGCTCAGGCATTGAGGGTCTTTCCCCTGGTGGTCGTTTGCAGGTTGGTTGATTTGCATATTAGCCTTGTATTCTACAGGGTAAGAGCAGCTGTTTTTGCAGCCCAGTCCAGCTCTCTAATGCAGCAATGAGGAGAAATTATGGCTCGCAGTCACACCCTAGCTATTGTTAGAACTTTCCTGCTAGAGTACTGGGACATAAAATGGGAGCCCCCAAAAGGTGATGGAAGCCGCCACATTTCACCCAAAACTTGATAAGCTTTTCAAAGTGGGCACAATTAACCAACATCCCCCGGCCCCTTTACAGGAGGCCAGATTCATGTCCCAGCTCAACTTGAATTTGTACAGTTTCTTT